TTATTCATTATGTGGAGATGGATAAATTGCTCTGCATTCGATTGAATAATGCGATGATGGAAATGAAATTCAAAATGATGGATGTTTTGACTGTCAACTTGAATGCATTTCTAATTGCCTTTCATGTTTAGATAACGAAGTTTGTTTTATGTGTTAAGACAACTATTAATTAGAAGGATAATTATGCTTACCAATCTGTGGTGATGGCATTATTATTAGTGGATTTGAAGATTGTGATGATGGAAATGTTGAACCTAATGACGGATGCTATTAATGCAAATTTGAATGTTCATAAGGTTGTCTTGATTGTGAAAATGGATAAGTTTGCAAATAATGTAATAATTAATACATCTTAAATAATCAAACGGGTAAATGTGAAAAGATCAAATAATTAGATGATTAGAATCAAGATTTAAATGAAAATCCAAATGAATTTGAGGATACCTTTAATCTAGTATGTAGCAAAAATTTCATCTTAATTGATTTTGAATGTGTTAATTAATGTGGAAATGGAATGCTTAATATTATATATGAACAATGTGATGATGGAAACTTAATTGGAGGGGATGGATGTTCTTTTTTTTGTATTGAAGAAGATAATTTTAAATGTCAAAATCATTAAGACAGTATGAGCTTATGTTCTTATATTAATCCTCCTGATTTCATGTTATCTCGTCTCTCTAGCTAAAATAACCAAACTTAAGCAATTGAATTAAGATTCACATAAAAGGTCAAATTATTAGCTGATTTAAGCTTTGAAGAAATTGCAGTAGTCAATCTTATTCCATAATCTCATGAAGTTATTAATATAAAGCCGATTGTTAAGCTATCAACCACATTTGATCATCCAATATATTAAATTTTTGTTGAATTCATAGAACCTGTAAAGGATCCTATTCTTTAGATTAATTTGAATTAATTAATTATTAAAAATGAGCATGATTTAGATTTAATGAGAAATTAGATGCAAATCAGTCTTGGCAAACCTTTTGTATTATCAGAGAATACCCAAAAAAAAGTGACATAAATTGTACTTCTTAATGATGCAATGATTTATTCCATGATTAGCATTTCAGGGTTATCATTGCTAACTGGAAATGCCATAATGTTTTTCAATTTGTTAGATCTATTATAATCTTTATCCTATATTACATTTATGTAGTATTCATTTCCCCCTAATTTAATATAATTTTTAAATACGTTTACTAAAGTATCATTAAAACCAATATTGGATTATTTTAGAATAGATGAAATATTAAGTTCTTTAAATGGTGGAAGTTTACCATTTCAAAGTAAAAAATCATATTAAAATTAATCAAATTCATTAAATTAGTTTTACTTGCTGAATGTGAAAAGTTGCTACTTCTCTATAATTATTTCATTAATAACATATATGATTTGTAGGTTGTTTACATCTTAAAAAATTGAAACCTTGCATAAAATTTTATTCCAAAAATTCTAAGATAATTATAGATACCTGCTTCTTGATAAATGGTTTTCAAAAAAACTCTAGAAATTTTGTATTAAATTCAAAAATGAATACTTCTCTTTTGGAATATAAAAAGTTTATTTTGCAATCCTTCATTAATTTTTATTTAGTGCATTGATTTAATTTCCTAATTACAGCTTTAATTCCCCTCTTATGGCATTTAATAGTATAAATGCAATTATTGGTTTAGTGCTAATAGTATACATAAGTTTATAATTACTTTCTATCACATCATCTAATAAAAAAGATAAAACAAAATGGTTATATTTTTATCAAGATTCAAAATCTTAATTTTGGGCTTCTAATTATAGATCCTTTTAGATCTATAGAGTAATGTTTTACATATTTACGATTGTTTTAGCTCTAGATTATCCATAAGTATAATCAATATTACTTTCAATGTCCTCATTTTTTTATCTAAGTTACTTATTAAAATTTAAACCTATATAATCTATGTATGAATATGCCAAACTTATATCAAGAGAATTTTTATTTGTTCTAATAACAGGATCATTTTTAATTTATAGTTTTGAATTTGATTAAAATTAACTGTTACTTTATGGATGGATTCATATTGCACTTTTTTCTTTAATGTTAATATCAAACTTGATCATCGATATAATTGAATGCATTAATAAAGCTTGGAAAAGTTATAAAAGAAAGCAAGAGTTAAAAAAAAATAAGAGAAATAAAAATATTTTATGACAACCCACTTCAAAATTTTATTAAAGACAACATAAATTAGCAAAAATGAGATATGTCATAAAAATATAATAATTATCATTTTTTCTAAATATTCTTAAAAATTCATACTATTTATATAAATCAATTTATTATTGTATGAAGAGTTTTATTTTTAAGTATGCTCTCGAATAATGTATTCAAATAGTTAGATTCTTAGCCATCTATCCTTAACTTCTAACTGATTAGAATATTTTCAGTCAATCTTATCCTTTCACGTAAAGAATAAATTTACTAATTCTCACTTTGATTCATTCAAAGTAAATCTCAATCATGAGCCATAAGTCTTTCTTTTGAGATGCATTTAGTATCTTTTCATCAAAAATAAGAACCTATATAAAAATATTCAAATATATATTTTAATATTAATTCATAAACTCTTTCTTCTGCCTCATAATAAAGAAAAATAAAAAAAATACATTTAATTTCCTTACTATAACTTAAGAATAAATTTTGTTTGCATAGCATTCTTTCGATACATAATGTAGAAAAGTTTAATTGATATTAATTATCGAAATCTAATATTCAACCTTGATATTAATATAATAGTTCTAAAAAGTTATGTGTGGGTTTATATTTGAATCATTAATAACAGTGTAAT